TGCTGGATTTAAAAGACAGATTTAAAACTTTAAGCGAATAAATAAAAAAAGCAATATTACCCCATCACATAGGACATATGCTTTAAATACTTTAAAGGCCTCTCAGTTTGAACTGTCCACAAAACTTTAAAAAGGACATATGCTTTAAATACTTTAAAGGCTTTTCAGTTTGAAATGTCCACAAAACTTATGCAAAAAAACCTTTTTGCATAAAAATACTAACAGAGAAGACATGAACGGAATCATAATTTCTTTAGCAGAATTGAAAACTAATTTTTGTCCAGATGTGAACATCATTTGAACAACATATCAACGCATCATCACCCTATAATGTGGGGAACGGCGACTTATCTTTGGACAGCTGCGTTCATATACACAGGCAGTTAAAGGGGAAAAAAATCACTGCTCTTTTGGAGTGGCCTTTGTTGCTCTGCCATCATTTTATGGCTGCTGAAATCTGTGCCATATTCATTGGCTCCGGCTGTAGTCACCGACTGTGTCTGTCACTCGCTAAATGCCTGGAAGGGTGTTTATGACAGACTTTACAGGCATTTTCACCGACAACAGCTGCACGATGCAAGGCACACATTAAACCATGACTAACTTTACAACTGTACAGTTAGTTATAGTCTAATGTGTCTGTGTATATACTGTATATGTGTGTGTATTTATGCATGCATGTATGTATGTATAAATATATATATATATATAGTTATTCAATTTGAGGTTTCAGAGAGGGCCTGGGAGGAATTTGATAAATGAAGTATCTGATGAGAGATTTCCGGGAGTTTATTTTTTAGAGAACGGATAAAAATCAAGGACCTTGCTCAGCATCTGGCAGTTTCATCAGGATGAAGCCAAGTTGACCCTCAAGAAGCTGCGTCAGGAATAGTCTCTTTGTGGAAGGTCAGCATCTAGGAAACTTTTTTTCAGAAGTGTATGAGATTTCTAAGGCCGTTGATGTTTGAAGTAGATATAAATAAAAAGAGATGGATAACCTCTAAAGTAGATCTCTGAGGAGTATGAAGAGAGAGTATATTCCCGATAGCTAATTTAAGAATGGGTCAAGATAGTATTTGTAGTGAGTACTGACTTTTGTCAGTACTTTCACATGTGAGGATACGACAGGAACACACATTAGAACCGCAGCCATTTAGTCTCAAAGAATCTGATCTGTTTGATGTTACAAATACGATGATTACAGTAACTGAAAGTATGTGTGCGTTTTTGGACCAGTTTGAAAGTTTTAATCAGTGTTTCCTCTTATTCAGTCAGTTCCAGTTTTAAGACATGAGCCAGATAAAAAAAATATATATATATATATTCCCTGGTCTTCATCTGTTCCTGCTAACTTTCATCTTTCTTCTACATATTTTATCTCAGTTTTTTTTATTGAAAAATAATGAGAGTGATGTAGTGCAGCTTAAGGTAAAGTATTTAATATGGGTAAATGAAGTAGGAAGTTTGTAATAGTCCTAAAGGAAAATACTCTGGGATGATGCCAGGGTTTTCTTTATTATAACACTGGCAGTCATGAGTAATTTCTGTCAAAAATGTAGACTTGAAGTCATCACCCAGGCTAGCTCTCTCTTAGTTTATCTCAGCACTTTATGCTAAGCTACTTAGCAGCAGGCGTCTGTGTGAATGAACAACAGAGCGAGTAAAATTAAAAGTTTTCCAAAATGTCAAACTGTAGCTTTCAATGTGGTCATTGTGAACAGTGTGCAGTGTGATTAATGCCGCACAATCAGTGGTCCCCGCTCCATTAACCAGAGAATAAGGCAGTGCAGTAGAATGGGATACGCCCACTGGAGTGGAAATGTTGAAGTGAATTAGCCGTGACTCTGCTCTCTCACAAATGTGCTAAAGGCTACTGTATGTGACCATATGGGCTGAGTCCAGTATTACTGTCACCCCTCATCCATCATGGTGGGAGAAGACGGCTCTTCCTCCGTCCTTTCAAATCCTCTTAGACAACATTTACCTGATTGATTTCCCCCCCCTTCTACCTCAATTCAGGTTATCAGCACAATAAAAGCAGGAAGCTGTACATTATTAATGTAATTCAGTCTCGTGGGCGGACGGACGGATGAGAAACATAAATGTTTGAGCAGCGGCCGCGTCCCCGTATGAATAATAACAACGCAGCGTTATTGAATTCAAAGGCAGAGCAAAGTGAGTCAGATGAATGAGTGATTGAAGGGGATTCAATTCCCACTGCAAATAACCTGTTACATATGGAGGAGTGCTTTACACTGAAATTAGACTTGTCAACTCTCATGATTGTAATCTGGAGGTTTGTTATATCTGCAATATCAATCAAAGGCAAACCGCACAGCCACGAAGTGAAGCGTAGGTAGCAGCCGTCAGTGGCCGATCTGTCAAAACAAATACTTTATTCATATCTTTCTTTGTCTTCTTGCCCTTTGTCTCCTTAATTCCTTCCACTCCAGTCTCCCGACAGAAAGCCATGATTATGGTTTTAACAGAGGATAATGGTGTTACACAGATTTCCCACAAACCCTGACTTCTCTTTCAGTCTACGCAGGCAAAGGCACATATTAAACAAACAATTCAGACTGTGGTTCAGCTCCGTGTTATTTCAAGTATGAACCGATTCTAAAAGAAATTCACCTGGGGACAGAAAGAGCACCGACAGCAGTAAATCACTGACCATTAGGCGTAGCAACAACATCACTGACTGAAGTATCACAGACCAGAGCCGTACTTTCCTGGAGAGCTGTACATCTCCAACAACACCCCATAATTAAACAGAAATCCAAGATTTCAATACCTTAGACCTACATTCTTGACTTGTTGTAACAATAACTTTGTCCACCTATAGACTGTAGACGAAGTATTTGACTTTTTGTGACTGTAACTGGTTTGGATTTTCAGTTATTTGTTAATGAATTTGTTTGATATTAGTTAAATATTTTAGCAGCATTTATCTTTGGGTTTATTATAGCTTTTGTTCAGGCTAACTTTCTGCTATTTCATATATGCTCTGCTATTTAGGCAGCATTTCTGCCGTTTTGCCGTCCCCTGGCTGACCACTTCTGACTATTGTTTTTCCTTGTCCACTAACTCTTTTTATCTTTCTCTAACCCTGTTGTACTAAATGTTACATGTCCTTTTCTTATTTCCAGTTATCTAGTAGCTATTGTAGTACTTGCTTATTTTCTAATATTTTGGCTAATGCGACATTTTCTTAATTTTTTGACACGTTATGGTTTTACTAATAGAAATGTATACTAATATTTTGGCTAATGCGACATTTTCCTAATTTTTTGACACTTTATTGTTTTACTGATAGAAAAGTATTATTTTTTTTTCAACCACAGAAGAAGAAAATCACCATGTACATTCCATGTCCCATTTAAAAGGAGATTAGTTTCACATGACTGTATGGTATACATTTTAGGAAATGGCTTTGACAAACATATTGGGTCTCCAGAAAGTGTGGTTGAGCTTCATGATATTGGAGACAGTTGGTTTACGCTATCCCCTAAAGAATCCTGTCCTACATATTCTCCAGATGGCACAATACTGCGTCTCTCTCTGACTGTACAGTATATATAGATGTGTGTACGTTTGTCTCAGAGCCGCCGCAGGTTCAAGTCATTCCCTAACCCCGATCCTCTCCCGCTAAATGATGATCACAGAGATTATGTATTGTAATTCCTGTCGGGTCTTTAAAAGAACGCCCATGCTGTGAGCCTAATGCTCAGTGGAGGGATTATGCAGACCCCTACATGTGGTGTTGTGGCTGCATACCTCCAGTCAGACTAAACCCAATCTGTTACAGATTTGGTCTAAAGAAGAGAGGTGCAGCAGGCATAAGAAGTGGGTGGGTGGGTGTAAGGGCTCGGCCTTCATACTTTACACTACATTCCTCTTCCTCTATATCATAAGGGATCAGGTCTAAACCTCCCTCTGGACGCCGTAGTTTTATCTGTGTAACAGAACGTTAAAAAAGAACCTTGACTTCAGTCAAGGTTCTGTGCTTCATATATTTTTTTTTTCTTTCTCAATTCTGTCTTTTTCTGCATTTTATTTTCCCTCTGTGGTCGAGACAAACCCAAATCCCCCACAGCTTCCCCTTCCAATGTGGGTCCAATTAAACACATATGTGGATTTTCATATCGAAGCTCATAAAAGGTAAAAGGTCCAGTGATTTACATTAAATTTACATAAGGAATGCTAAGTATCTGCATGTGTGAGGTATGGGAGTCTATCAGAAGCAGATGGTCATTACCATGTGTGACAGCAATCCAAGGTGTTTCACTGGGCATAAATCTCACCAGCCGACATGACTCTTTAACATGTAGTAAGTGTATAATGTCCCCATTAGTGAAGCTTAACATTGCTGCACATGTACTGTACTGTATGTACTACTACAACTACATACTACAACCTATGTAATCAACCAGTAGGTGGAGTCCTTGGCACCATGTCAGACTTTCTAGGGAGAAAGAAAAATATTTCAGGTCAAGTGTTTGTAACTGGAAAATACTGTATGTGTATATGTATATATATACATATATACACATATATGTATATACGTACAGTATATATGTGTATATATGTGTGTGTATACTGTGTGTGTGTGTATACTGTGTGTGTTTGTTCGAGAGAGAGTTGCATACATGTGTCTATAATTCTTTATACCAAACGTTAACCTTATAAAAACCATATGAGCGCTGCAGGATAGGTACAGCTCCTCTATGGGAAATCTCTGATGTCTATAAAGATTTTTTTGTTTTTTTGTTTGTTTTTTTTTTTTTTTGCTTACTGCTCACTTTTTTTCTTTCAAAATAACCTTTGCTTTAGTTTTTGAAAATAGCTTAATTCACCATTTGATACAAAGTCAGATATGCACCAAAGCATCTGAATACTATTATATTCTAACTCACAAAACATATTACAGATATTTTTTGTGAGTTTCTGCTCAAAGCTTCTTCTTCTTCTTCTTCTTCTATTTCTTCTATTTCAGCTTCTTCTTCTTCTTCTTTTTCTTCTATTTGTTATAGTGGTTGTCAACACCTGTAGACTTACAGAGAGAAAGACTGTCAGCTCAAGGATGGGTTTTCAGCAAATGCTCTTTCACTCATTGCCGAGATCTTCCGTGTTGGATGCTGTATATCAGCGCCATGGTTTAGTTAAGCTGCACTGTGCTTTGCTGCACCCTAGTGGCCACATAAGAGCATTGTTGCACCGTGAGTTTGGTTAAAATGGTTTGCGGGGGTCGAGGGTAACTGTACAAAAGGATTAACATAAAACTGAAATAAATACGTAATTGAAACAATTTATTCAAGGCTTATTTCAAACATTCTGCCAGCAGGTGAAGTTTACAAGGATTTGTACCAGTTCAGGGGACGCGCTGCTCGTTAATGTAACGTTTGCCAGAAGAAAATCAGATCAGAAATCAGTTGAAGGAATAAACAATGTTTAAGTCTGATCCACACCATCAAAGCTGTTGTCAGTCAACCCACACACACACACACACACACACTTGTGCAGACATGTGTGTTTGAATATAGCGATGCACAAACAGAAGCAGGGTGAAGTAGTGATTAGCTCTGCAGCAGCAGAGCCATAATTGCTCCTAATTACAGTATTGCCTCATTGTTCCTCTCTACCTCTAATTTACCACACTAACACCCAGAGAGACAACACTGCTCTGGTTGTGACCACATTGTGTGAATGACTGGGGAGTCGTCACCAACAGCACAGCAGTAAGTGTCCTTAACTCTGGTTACACACTCACTAAATACTCTTTTTTTTTTTTTTTTTTACTCACAAAATTTATCATATATTTATAAATGAAAGGCAAATTTAGCAATAAAAAAATTCAAAAATGTCTAAAGCTTGAAACATTAAGGGCATGAAGTAAGAACCTAATTTCTAGAAAAGTTGGTACACTTCCAAAGAATTCTAATTGCTCTAAACTTCAATTTAACAGCTCAAAGGTCACAGACATTTATTTTTCTTACTTAATTATATTCATTTATAATTTAGAAATGTATTCTTTAAACACACTCCAAAAACCTTGGCACAGAGGCTAAATTAGAGTGAAAATACAGACAACATTTAATGAGATTGCTCTGAGTATGTTGTTTAAAGTCAGGGGGAAATCTTGCTGTGTGGAGACCAGGGGCGGAAAAGGCTGCTGAATGTGCATGACCTTTGAGCCCTGCTGTTTTCTTTGCATAAAAAAATGCAAGGCTTTGGTAAATGGACATTAGTCAGAGGACCTTTTCAAGAAATTAACTCCTATCTTTCCTATCAGGGAATGACATAAAGGTTAATTTTGTTCGTACAGAAACACTCTGGCCTACAGGAGGTTTCTAGGTCATCAGTGACAAACTAGGAGAGAATGGAACTGTTTTCTCTGTCTCTTAATGTCAAGTGCATGTGTTAGACTGGCCTGCCTGCAGTCCAGATCTGTCTCCATTTAAACATGTGGGACAGGGGACTCAGAGAACAGAGACCAAAGACTGTTGAGCAGCTTGAAAATGGACTCAGAATTCCACCTGCAGAACTGATGAAAGTACTAGCACTAACATGTCCAACTAAGGAAAATGAATGACCCGTGGGTAAAGTTGCCTCTGTTCTAAGTAGTTTGGCGTGTGTCGCATGTGTCTTACCTACATATTAATTTTTGAAGAATGGTTTTCACACAGTGTACCAACTTTCCTGGAAATTAAATTCGTAAAAGCGTCTGTAGAAAATACGACTTGTTCACATCATGGTGCTGCATCTACATAAGCTTTATCAATGTATGCAATATGGCTGCGAACTGCAAGCATCAAAGATATAGTTACATATTAAAGTGCTGGACCTTCTGTACCAAACACTAAGCAATACTTGTTGCAAAACCGCGTGTAACAAAAACGTAAGAAACTTAATTACATTGCATATTTGTTGCTATAGAAACATTTTCTCTTGGTAGGAAAATGAAATAAGAAACAGAATCACTGAGATGTGTAACGTTTTCACCCCGACTGAGTAAATACAGCACATCAACAAAAACATTCCGAAATCATCCTACTGTAAATCAACCTTCCAGATCAGGCTTCAGTTGTTGTTCAGATTAGACACCCGGGGTTGGATGGTCACCCTACGAACTGGGGTCTGGTCTGCGTTGCGATTGGCTACCAGCTCCTGCAACTGCAGAGCCCCTCCACCAATGAAACAGAAAGCAGGACACACCGGGCCGGAGCAATCCACATGACCCTCCCACAGGGGGCGTAGAGAATGAGCGTCGTAGAAGGTGACGCGACCTTTCTCAAAGTCCAGGCACACGCCCAGCCGGGGCGGCAGTGGGTACGTGTGGCCAGAGGGCGAGGAAGGGCCGTTGTTGTTGTTGGTGATGTCTCGGTTGTTGTTGTTGTGGTGGTGGTGGTGGTAGCTGTGCTGGGGCAGATAGATTTTCCCCATGCCCATGGTGAGGAAACAGAAGGGTGGAGCAGAGTCCAGGGCGTCCTCCGCTCCACTGTCATGGCCGCTGTCTGGGTCGTAGCTGAGGAAAAAACATTTTTTATTATAATATCTAATAAAGAAAGTCAGTCAGCTGTATTTGAACTAGTACTACGGTAAACTGGGATTTCAGTGCTGTAAAAAAAAAATTACTACGGTAAACTGGGATTTCAGTGCTGCTGCTGCAAAAAAAAAGATTTTGTCTTTGTTGTCGCTCACCGTGGACTGGCCATGTCCTGTGGGAGGTGAAACCACTCCTGCAGTTTAGATTCCAAACCCACTCCAACCTGAGGAGAAGAGATATAAAATAATAAATTAATAACATGCCTGGCAGCTAATATCTGTAACTTATACGTTCGATAGGATTACAGTGAAAAAACCCACAGTTTGCAGTAATGACTTGCCTTCACTAAGTAAGAGCTGGGCTCCACGGAGCATGCCCAGTAGTGACGTCCCTGTGTGATGGCTACATCTCCGACCAGGAGGTCGGAAGTCAGGTGACAGGAAGTGAGGGCGTGGTCGGCGGCCTGCAGCAGCGAGAGGCCGGGGACGCTGCGGGCGCAGCGCTGCTCTTTGCTGACCACCAGGCGGTCAGCGTGGAGACCCCAACGAGAATCCAGATAGAAGTTAAGAACTGGAAAGGAAGTGAGTTGGGAAGAGAAGGAACAGGAGAGGTTAGAGAGGAGAAAG